CGTAGTCTGTAGAAATGTCTAATGTTAAGTTTAGTTCCTCAATTATTTTCTCTTTCTCTCGACATTTATGGGCGTAACGTAGCAGAATTGCCTCTTCGTCTTGTGACAATCGAGTTACTTATAGGTTGCTTGATGAAGATGCTTTTTCCTCAAATATTAAATACAACTCGATTTGTACCATCGACACATGTGTAAGCCCTAAACATCTTGCGAATGTTGTTTGCATTCGATAAGGTCAACATGTAATATGCTTCAGGACCAAGCTCATGAACTGATTCTTTCACTTGCAACGAAGACATTTGTTGTGTTGTAGATGTTTAAAGCTTTGTTGAAATAAAATTATATAACTCATCTTTCTTAATCTTGGTGTTGAAGGAAGTATATAAATAAATTCTGGAATGAAACACCGTTGCAAAAAATCTTACCATATTTTAGTAAGAGTCGAAATGGTCTTTTTGATGAAGCTATCGAACATGATTATCGTATTTATAGATAAATTAGATAAAACTCGTGTCTTGTAGAATGTAAGGCCCATTGACATGTTATATCAATTGTGTACGTTGGTGGTTCAACCACGTTAGAAATCTCTATGGGCCTCGTTGTAGAGAATGCGAGGTCCTTGCCATTTTAGGAATTTCTGTAAAACTCGCTCTCTGCATAACAAAAGACCTTGCCTATAAAAGCATCATCTTTTGGTGTCTTAACCCAAGATTTTTGGAGGGTGGGGCTAAACTCGCGATTAAAAAGGTTCTAAAGCTCAAGTGCCAATATCAAACCATTTTAGCTTGTTCTTCATGCACAAAACCAAGCTTTTGAAACATTTTCAACACGATTTTACCACGATTATAATATTTTCAACAAGAGTTTTAACCCTATTTATAAAAGGTATCCTCTTCTAGCAACATCTTAATGTTAAACGTGAGGTCTTTGCTTATAAATGGCTCCTCTTCTGGTAGCACGACATGACACGAAACTTAGAGATCCTTATACCAATATCAGTGCTAGAAGTTATGCCACTAGAAGAGGATGCCTTTTATAATGTCAAAGCCCTTTGAGTTTCTCTTACAATGTCATGGTATCGTGAAACTTCTTCTTCCATCAAACCTAGCATTCTCAGAAAACTTCTCGTTCCATCAAATCTGGCCTTCTCGAGAACCTTCTTATTCCATTATACATGGTTTTTTCGAGAAACTTTACGTTCCATCAAACAGCAGAAAACATTGCTTCGTTTGCAATTTATATACCATAATTATGTAATTATATTTTCTAGTATTGAAATTTATTTTATTTTAAATTTTGATATTATATTTTATGTTATTATATTTTTTGGACCATTTTCATTGCGAGTTTAACTCAGTTTATAATACTTCATATTGAACCTCATAGATTAAGTATTGATATTTAAAATAAACTATCAATCTTATATTCATTGACGTTTTCAAATTCTAAAGTATTGAACCTTATAGATTAAGTATTGATATTTAAAATTAACTATCGATCTTATCTTCATTGAATTTTTCAAAATTTAAAATATCAAATCTTATAAATTAAGTATCGATATTTAAACTTAACTAGTGATCTTTTATTCATTGACGTTTTCAAAAGTTAAAGTATCGATCATCATAGCGTATCAAAAAGTCGAGTCAAGCCCTTCCAAGTTACTGTGGAATTCACATTCTGTAGAACGCGAGTTGCATACACTATACAGAATGATCGTGTTGCGCAAGGTATGTGCCAATTCTACATGCTATTTTGGATAGTTTTATAGTGCGTTAATGTATTCTGCCACTATAACCCAATGGTTCATATCGACGACACTTGGTTGTACGAAAGATACACATAAATATTGTTATTAGTTGTTGCATAAGATAGAAATAAGAAAACTATTCTCATCACCTTTGCAATAGTTGAAAAAGAAGATATAGACTTTTGGGAATTCTTCCTTAAGAACTTACGAAGGCATGTTCTATGACATGTTTTACGTGATAGAGATGATGAGATATGCTTTATTTCTAACAGAGGCATATGGATTAAATACGTAATCCAACATATGGGTCAATCTTTGAAACTTCCCTATATTTATCACCAGTATTGTTTACGCCACATTACTGCAAATTATTTGTAAAAGTTCAAGACTGAAGATGAACTTCTAATGGTGCTTCGAATGGATACATCTTTCGTTTTTTTGGGTTTAAGATATATTTTCATTTATTATTTCTAATTAGCTGTTGCATTTTTAAAGATAGGCCATATGTATTTCATACATGGGGTTAAGGAGATGCTTCAAGAATCGATAGACATGAATTTACAAGGTTATAACTACCTTATTAAAATCCCGATGGAGAAATGACTTTGATCATTTGATGAGGGTAGACCATATAGTCACATGACAACAAACTTAATTGAGACGACCAATTCATCACTAAAGGAAGTGCGACATTTTTCTATCACTTCCGTTGTCAAAGCGATATATTATTGGTTGACAACCCTTTTTAAAACCTTGAGAAAGTAAGTAGTTGATTAGATGACAGGTGGTTACATAATCCACCCAAACCTTCTCACAAATATTTGTACAATATTCAAATGCGATGAATACGACATGTGTCTCTCGCGAACAAAATAAATTTGTGTTTCGGAATATTCGAGGCCATTGGAAGACATACAACACAAACATACATGGTTAATCTACTAGAAAGACCTGCGACTGTAGAGTATTCCAAACATTCAAATTCCCATGTGCGCACGACATTGCTGCTTGTTCTTTTATATGGATTCACTACATAACATTCGTTGATCCGATATACTTACTTGAAATTGTATTCAAGGTTTATCAATACGAGTTTCTTCCCATTGGAAATAAATAAGATCCAAAAAAGTTTATGATGAACCTACAATACGACCATATTTTACACTACGTCACGTAAAAACAGGTCGTCCACGATCAGCAAGGATTTATTGTGACGAGGATTTAGTCAAACATCGATAAAAACCAGACAATCGAAACTATGCATTATTTGTAAGAATCCCAGACATATGAAGAACAAATTTCCTAATCGATCACACCCTCATATCGATTAATTATGTTTTTTCATTGTGCTACTTTTGTAATTAACAAAATATAATCGTTAGTTTATAATTTCTTTTGGTTTCAAACCATTTTCAATGCAAATTTTACACCGCTTATAACATCTGGTTTATGCCGGTATTAGCCTCTATTGAAAGATAAGTTCTAATACTACGCCACTGATCATATAAATTATAAAAAAAATATTAACTATCCAAAAAAACCATCGAATATGCCTATCAAGTCATTTTAGTTTTTTCTTCATGCACAAAACCAAGCTTTGGAATCATTTTCAATGAGATTTTTACCCGCTTACAATATCTCATATGTGTCGATATTGGCCTCAATTAAAAGATAAGTTCCAATACTATGTCTCTAATCTTATAAATTACAAAAAATTTAGAATAACTACCTAAAATACCCCCTCGAACATGTATATCAAGCCATTTTAGCTTCTTCATGCACAAAACATGATTTGGAACCATTTTCAACGTAATTCTTACACCGCTTACAATAAACCGTATGTCTCGTTATTGGCATCAATAGAAAGATAAGTTCCAATATTACGCCTCTAATCTTATAAATTATGAAATTTTCATATTAACTTCTCGAAAATACCCCTCGAACATGTCTATAAATTCTTGCAATATGGATTGGAAATGCATAAACCATGCGTTATGTGAGACGCGAGGTTCATAAAATACAACATGCGATAAATTCAATTTCTCATGGACCTCCCGTTCTAAAGAACGCGAGGTTATTTATCCAAATATTAAATTGGGTTATATGATCCACGTCAGACAGGTCTCGCGCCCTATATAACGCGAGTTCCTTATATGCATTTTGCAGAATGCGAGATAGTCATACGTGGACAGTTTAGGGTTATTTTTTTCAAATAATTCTTGTCGGGGTCATTTTTCTAATAATTGAATTTTAAAGGTTTTTTTAATAAAAACGCCAGTAACTATTATGTCACTTGATATATATTATATATAACCATTTCGATCACCCAAAACTTAAATAAAAGATGAAGAATATAAAATAAAGGTACATGTTATCATTTATATAAAATTAAATAAAAAATTAAACCTAAATCTCTTATTAAGAAGAAAATCAAATATCCAACAACTAAGACAAATTTTAAAATTATAAATAAGAATATAAATAGTCTCCTAACTTTTAGAGCGCTTACATTTTGATAACCTAATTTTTAAAATTTATAATATAATCATCGAACTTTTAATTCGTTTTTATTTTGGTCCCTACAATTACTTTCCGTTATTTTTGATTACGTGACACTTAACCTGGTTAACTCCCCATTCTTCTTCTTTCTTCTCTTCTTCTTCTTCTTCTTCTTCTTCTTCTTCTTCTTCTTCTTCTTCTTCTTCTTCTTCTTCTTCTTGCACAACTGCTCCTCTTATAGCCGTCGCAACTTCTTTGCTACACTTCACTCCCTACACAACATGCCCATTTCATCGCCAACTACGACGAAGGCCTTCAACTGGGTACGCTGCCCGGCACGGGTTTATTTCTGCCCGGCTTTGACCAAACGTCCGAGCTTTGTAACAGGAACCCATTTCTCTTCTTCATCTTTGCGTCCGCGACGCTTTCCTCTTGGGCCACGATCGGATCTACCACCGAAGCTGCGCCTGAAAACGGCACGCATGAAAAGCTCATACTCGTGTTATTTTACAATTTTAAACTCAGTTTGTTAATTTCTTAGAGTTGATTAGAAGTTGAACAGTGTAGAACCATATTTATATCAAGTACAAGAGATCTGGTCTTAAAATTGATCTCGTAATGCATGTCTAGGAAGTTGTGTTCTGTTTCAGATTCACAATCGCTTCATACTTATTTGTATCTGAAATTTAGATTCTCTTACTCATGACAGGTATCATTGTTGAAATTTCTAAATTTATCTTCTTTTCTCCGTTCTTAGCTGTCATGAAGTTGGAATCTACATAATTCCGACCAAGAGAGGTGGTAAAGCATGTTCTCCAGACAGCTGCAGCATCATTGCAAAAGATTCTTACCTTGGAAGGAAATGTGGCAGATGAAGTTCCGATTGAGGTGAGTGTCTTGCGACGTATTTCCATTGATCATTATATTTAAAAGTTAAAGTCCCTTTTTTCATCATCCTCATATTTTGGAGCTTTATGCATCGATCAGGTCATAGGAGATGTGCTAAGAATTCGACAAATTCTCACCAAGTTGATCAGGTATTAAACTATGAGAAGTCATGATTATGTTCCAATTTTCCTATAGATTATCATGAAAATACTCTAGCATTATTAATATGGACCCAATAACTAATTATTCTGACTATTAAATTACATGTTACTGCAACTGTAAAATTGTGTGTAGAAGATATTTATGAATAATTTACTATTCATAACTTCCATTTCTCGCATGCTGATTAGAACAACCTTTCTTCTTTTCCAGCAATGCTATCAAGTTTACGCATGAAGGGAAGGTAGGGGTAAAACTTTATGTAGTACTAAAGCCGCCTTTTGCGAAAGAAACATCTCAGCCTGTATCTATGGATCAACTACTATTAAACCTAAAGCTAATGTATCCAAAGAGAGACATGTACATCAATGCCTCAAACTAGCAGTGATCAGAGAGGATTCCATGGTAAGAAACACGAAGGTTCTTGCCAAAACTATTCACAAAGTGAATCTGGTACTCTAGTAAGGAATGGAACAATAGATGCATCCGAGGAACAAGCAAAGTTACCTAAAACAACAGTGTGGATAAGCTGTTATGTATATTGCACTGGGATCCAAATACCAGGTACACGTTTGTATGCTTGCCTTTAATCATTTACAGTATAAAAACAAATATGAGATTTTGTTAGATGTATATCAGTTGATGTATATGTCTATTTTCTGGTTTTGGATCTAAGATTTCATGTGTGTGAGAAGAAGGAAGGAAGGAAGAAGAAGTTGCCACGTCATAAAGTTAACGGGATTAAGTGCAAAATCAGCAAAAACTAAGGGAGGTAATGACAGGACCAAAATAAAAACGAACTAAAATTCGATGATTGTATTATAAGTTTTAAAAGTTAGGTGACCAAAATACAAACACCTTAAAAGTTTGAGGACTATTTATACTTTACCCTTATTTTATAATAGATAAAATTAATTGAATCATTTCCTACTCGGAAGATTCTCAAACCATTTTCGTTTTCCGAAAAAGCTACACTGAATGACACGAATCAGATTAGACAAAGGAAGGGTGGCTTGAAAAAGAGTGTCAAACCATTCCATTCAACCGTTACGTCCATATTATAATTAACTAATTGGTACCCCTTTTAAGTACAATTTGAGGCCTGTAAAAACGTGTTAGGCACCCTGTTTGCTTTAAAATACTTGATTCTTAGTAGTCCAATTAATAATTGATTAAGCAAGTATCATACGCTAATCTTTCTTCTTAACCGAAAACTTATTTTAGTCACTTGGGAATATTAATATTAAGGTGGGAAAACACACTTTATATGAAGTTATTTGACTCCAACTTTTCCAATGAATTCACGTGTTTTGTAAAAAAAATTGCATATTTATTATTAGGGTAAACTACATGTTTAGTATCCCTACCATTATTTTTATTCCATTTCGATCGTTCAACTATTATTTTATTTCAAAATCATGTCTAACTTTACGTCATGGTTTCATTTTGGTCACTTGTTAAAAAATTAACAGAATTGTTGATGTTTCATTTTAAAAAAATAAGTGGGTAACCAAAATTGAACAAATTGAGAAATTGAGAAAGAAAAATGAGAAAAAAGGTAAAAAAATCTTACCTCTTTTACCGGTAACATCTACAATGATTGGGACTACTATTCATAAATTTGATCGATGAGAAAACTTATCTCATCAAGAACAACATACTCGAAGCATAGCATAATATAATGGAAGATTGGAAGATCATAATTAGAGAAACCAAAGGTTTTCTGTCTTTGTTTGTGGCTATGGGCATTTTCTGACCAAAAGGAGCCTATTCAAAAGTAGAGGTCTGGAAATGTGTGTCCTATAAGTTTGATGATCAACCATCAATGATGTTGGCCGATAACAAGTACGGTGGAAAATGTTGTAACACCTCAGATTTCATGCTAGTAGTTTCGAGTTTACCCAAGAGGTATATAGATGTAACATCCCAAACTACGGGTTAGTGACCAAATTGTAAAATTTTAGAATTTGGTGATTAAAGTGGAAAAGTTGAAAAGTTCAATGATTTATTTGAAAGTATTTCTTGAAGGGTTGTTAGTAATTATTGAAAGAGTCAAAGGGCAATAGGTCATTGAACAAGAAAATAATTAAATAATAATTAGTGGGTATTATAATACCCATGTGATGCATGTGTGAAGAGATAAGTTTCCAGACTTATCTTCTTCATCTTCTTCTCTTCTTCAACGTGAAGTCCCAAGCCCAAGGTAAGTTTGATTTATTTTGGTTAATCCTTAAAATTTTAGTATGGGTTTTTATCCTTAGATGATAATTAAGCTTAAGGAAAGCTTAATTTGTCTTAAAATCAAAAGATGAACAAGTTATGAAGGATTAAAGATAAGAAGTGGATAAGTGAAATTTTGAATAAGGATTTTAAATGAATTTGGAGGTTGAATTTGACTTGTCATATGTGAATAAGAAGCTATAAGTGTTAAATCAAAGTTTGGATAACATGAAAAATTTGGTATGATTCTTAGCCTTAAGAATTTGGATGAAATATGGAAGATTATAAGGTGTTGGAATGATAAGAATTGATTAAAGTTGTTATAGATGAATTTAGTAGCATAATAAGGATTTTATACATGAAATTTGGGTGAAGTGTTGATGATTTTCTGATGAAATAGCCTATTCTGGGCAAGTGCATCGATGCACTATGAGTGTGTACCGATGCACTAAGACAATTTTGAAGGTGCATCGATGCATTAAGGGGTGCATCGATGCATGGAAATGTCAAAGCTATTTTGGGTACCGATGCACCCATAGTGCATCGGTACACTCCTAAAGGAAAAGTTGAAATTTGGTTTATTAATTAGCCTGAGTTATTAACATTAAGTTATAAGGTTTAGGCTTCTGATAATTATCTCAGAAATTATGTTTATGTAGATATTGAGCCTAAACAAGTTCTAGAACAATCAAAGAATTAAGATCGAATCAAAGCAAGGCTAAGGTGAGTGCAATTTAAATTGTACTTATGTGTTGATCAAACATTGGCTTGCGATGAGCCAATGATGGAGTTACTATGGTAAGAAGTAACTTCTAAAATGTTATGTGATTACTATGTGTGCATCAGTACATATAAATGGACGTATGTTATATATGTTACTTGATTTACATGCTTACGTGAAAATGCAACATATGATATATGTTACTTGATATGATATGCAAGGTTACATGAACAAATGAGAAATGATAAAAGTCATATGAAATGATCTGTGTGAATACGTGCACTTGTGATACGTGTTATATGATATATATGTTTACACATACATGTGGTATGTGACAGAAGAGAAAGGATATTAATAAGTAATATGAACTGTTATAAATGATAATGCCCATAATATGTGATATAGAGCTAGGGGTATAGTTGGCATGCTAAGGGTCGAGGGTTTACCTATGTTCTTCGGGACATATGGACTGTTTACTTATGTTCTTCGGGACATATGGACTGTTTACCTATGTTCTTCGGGACATATGGACTGATTACCTAGGTTATTCAGAATCGATGGACCGGTCCTTCGGGACATTTATTGTGGTGACAACATAATGGTGCACAACCTCAATGTACTCAAATACCTTAAGTTCTAAAAAATGTACATGGGCTAATAAAGAGACAATAACAAATACAATACATATGATGTATATGTTTTAGTGATATGAATATGTTACATGAATTATATGATTATATATGTTATATGATATACATAATTGATAGTACAAAATCATATGATAAATATAAATTATGATGATGATGTCATATGTATATGTATGCATTTTATTATATGAATGTTCTATAGTTTTATTATATGTTTATATGCTTCACTAAGTCAACAACTTAGTGTGTTGTTTCACGCGTAGGTTTTGAGAAGATGAAGATGATAAAAGTTATGCAAGACAAGTCAGTTCCATCCTTATCCACAAGTTCCTCCTTTCCAAAGATCATCAAAAAGAATGTATAGTATGTTTTTGTAATAAGGGAAGTGGTTGGCATGTAAATAAAGGTTTAAATCCGATATGTTCTAATCGGTTTGTAAAATCATATGATAGAGTTTGTAATGTTTTAAACGTATTTATGTAAATGTAAATGTATAGTAAGAACAGTTAAATTTTTCGAGTTTTATGAACGTTTATGAAAGTCACTGTAGCATATTGTAGTAGTGCATCGATGCACAATTTTGCTTTGAAATTTTAGTGCATCGGTGCACTGTAGCACTGTTCATGGTACTATTCATTAATGTTCACGGTACTGTTCATACCGTATAATACTATTTATAAATACGTTTTACCTTAAATTTTTATAATGAAGCATAATTTATAGTATATTATTTATTTTCTTAATATGCTCAATGTTTTGATATTTTATAAGAATACTGTTTTAAGAATACTGTGTGTTACAATCTAGCCAATGCTGACATCTGTATGACTCGTATCCGGGTCGGGTACGGGTTGGGGGTGTTACAATAGACCTAGCGGAGTTCGTAATTAAAGTTGCTGGACAAATGTGGGTTTGATTGGATGTAAATGAGCCTAATTGATCTTAAAAGGGTATTTTTTGGTTTAGGTCAAAGTATGAGGGTATAAAGTGTAATTATACCATTGAAGAAAAAACAAGGTTGATATTAGGGGTTTATATCATTAAGACGTGAGTTTTGTGGCCAAAAGCCTTTTCTCTTCGTCTTATTCTTTTCTCTTATTATTCCTACTCTAAGCCTTTAAAACTCAAGTGGATGGTAAAAGAATCTATCCCTACTCCTTTAGGCTTTTAATCTATCTCAAACTCTTCTTACAACCCTTTTATATGTTATGAAATTCGTGCATCTTTGTGGCTAGAGAAAAAGAGTGAAAATAAAACAAGTCTGGATAAGAGTGGTAGCTAGCTAAAGAGCTTCTTTTCGAGATTCTAGCATCAAGGTAGTGTATTTCTAATCCTTTGTGGTGTTAAGTTTCATAAGCATGAAGATTTGTTATGATTTGGGTATTTAAGCATTTTAGGATTTATGCTTAATTTATGCCATAAATGACATTTTTGGTGTAAAACATGTGTTGTTATGGTACTTTATGACTCTAAATAACTTTCTAAGCTTTATCACATGAATTGAGACCAAACTAAGACCTTTAGGATGATTTTTGTGTTTTTCGAGCTTAAACTAAGGCAGTTCTAGGTTTGAGTATCGATACTACCCATTGGTTTAAATGTGTTCAGATTCCAAATGCATTTTTTGTACTGACACTATGTAATTATTGATACCAGTATCGATACCTCAAACTCATTATCAATACTCCCTTTCCAACGGTCATAACGAATAGTTTTTATTAGAGCAGTATTGATACTTAAACCCGAGTACTGATACTCGGTCATATAACGACTATTTTTATCAATACTCCCTTTCCAACGGTCATATAACTCTGGACAATTTTATTTTGTAGAAAATAATCTCCACGGCTCCAAAACATCCCAACGGCTAAACGTCCACAAACTCATTCCAACATATAAAAAAGTTAAGACACTTGAAGAAGGTTACAACACCTATCCAAGAATTGACCATCAACAGAAAGTTTTTCACTCTTTATATTTCTTTTATTTGTACAT